TTAAGTAAAACTTATTCTCTTTTCTTCCCACTGCACACCCCCAATTTCCTTGCAACTAGAAGTGATAACAGATCAAGAACAAGAGGCAACCTCGTGCTTTTGAATTAGTCACATTAGGGGACTCATATGAAAGTTGTAGTGTAAGACATCTGGTGGGCACCAGGTTGCCAAATCTTCCTGCCCCGCGTGCAAGAAAACTATGGTGGTCCAGGCCCTGCTCCAAAATGCTGCAATCTTAATCCAAGGCAGCTGTGGGCCCCAGGCACCACTATTTACTCAGCTGCAGTGGGAGCTCAGCTTGGTAGAGGGAGAGGAGGCAATTGTTCAGTTTGTTTGAATGTGTTCAGAGTGTGTTAGTGCTAAAGGTCAAGGCCACTAGCTGATGTGGTTCCCCCCAGGGTTTTCTTAGTGATAGAGTCAAGAGATCTGCGGCTGCCCTTGCTCTGGGTTGGCTTTTGCTGAGTCCCCACTGTGCCTGCAGTGGCAGTGGAAAAAGCCTTCCAAACAGCAACTCCAGATTGCTGTTTCTGAAGCACACCTGGACCCATCATCCTGGTCTCTGGAGGAGATTAGGTAAGAGAATAGTAAGAGCCATTCAAGGGCGGGAGAGAAAAGGATGGACTCTCCCTTTAAAGAGAGGCTGGATGGCCATCGCAGTAGATTCCTGCACTGGGCAGGGGGTTGGATTAGATGATCTCCGAGATGCTTTCCATTCCTTCCATTGTAGGAGTCCACGGAACTGTGATACCAGCTTTAAGTATCCACTGCTTGGTCACAGTCTGGAAGAGCTGGATCACTGTGGAAACAGCCTCTGCTCATTTCCAGATAAGGGAGCACCTTGAGGCAAGGAGTGAAGAGAGCAGCTTCTGGAGGCTCCCTGGCATTTGCCTGCCCCTCACTTGTTGAAACTCCCACTAATACCTGTTTTCAGAATTTGAGCTCTGAGTTGCACCTTTCTGGGGTCTGCTGCTTTCCTGTTGCTCAGTTGCTTCATTGGTCCAAATAATCTAAAAGAAATTGAGGCATCTTGGTTGGCTTCAGGATAATCCCTCCTGCCCACAGGAAACGCAGCATTTCAGTCACCGCCAGCTGGCTTCCTGGCGTGTTGGGACAGGATCTCCCAAAGGCTTTCCTCTCCCCTCCTGTTTACAAAAGGCCTGAGTTGATGCTTCCTTCAGGGCAAGGACGCTTTTTCCCCAATGGGAACATTTGAAAAGTTTCCTGCAAGGATTCTTGCACGCACTGTAAGGCATTTTGAAAATGTATTCTCTGCTATGCAGCACAAGATGGGATTACAAAACACCAATAAATATGCGGATTTTAAAATTGTTAATTTGAAGTAAGCGTACAAGAAAGCATTATGAATGGTAGCAAAAGCAAAACCTCTTTTGTCTTTTTTAACTAATGGCAGAAGAAAAGAGAGATGTTAGCAAGCCAGGTCCTATAGCAGAGGTACACCAGCAAATGTGTCCCACTTTGTGCTGGTGTAAAAGAGTGGCATTGGGGGCACAGAGCCAACCCAACGGGAGGGGGAAGAATGCAGAGGCACCGGAGAAGTTGCTCTTCCAGGCACATGGAAGCCAGTGTCCTGACCTACTTCATGCAACATGGTGGTCCTCAGGTTGGGGTTTCAGGTTCCTAAAGGAAAACACAAATCCTGATACAGCTATAGCATGACTGGTCCACCAAGCTCTGCCATTTTTTACTCACATCAATTTGGGAGAAACAGATGGTAGAACCATATATCCAGTGTATGCTAATATCTACCTGGCTTCCTCATCTACACCTCTTCCCAAAAGCTCATCTCCACTTGAAACCCATGAAAGAGTTTTTTCTTACCTTGACTCCAGAAACCCTGACGAATGTCTGCCTGGAACCATCAATATGAATCCATGTCAGTTCACCGAACAAGTTCATTTTCTGGATGCTATGGTGAAACTGTGTAATGATGCAAAATAGGATCATAAATGAAAAATCTACTGACTCTGTGAATAAGTCCAGTTACTACCCTGAATACAATAAAAAATCCATTGTTAGTAGCCCAACCCTGTAACCTTATTTAGCCAGACTTGCTGTATAAAGCATTTCTCAGTCTAAAATATCTCCAGTGGGCAAAAATATCAAACAGATCGACCAAGCCAGTAATAATTTCTTAGAATACTCATCCAGAACAGAAACCTATAGAGCTTCACTTGCGATTGCCTTCATTCTTGTTCCACTGAGCAGCCATCATCTTGTAGGGCTTGGTTGGAAGACCATTTTGGCCAGTGGGCCCCTTGAGAGCCAAAGGCAGAGGGCGGCAGATGCAAAATGGCTGCCACAGAACTTGAGACAACCCTCTTACCAGAGGGATACTCCCAGAAGTACTGGGCCAGTAGGCCGGTCAGGGAAATTAAAACAAGGGCGAGTCATTGCTGGGCTCTTGGAAAAAGTACACCAGGAACTGAGCTTGACCTGAAGGATATTTTACTTTATTTCAGTATGTGGCAGTACTGGACCACCTGTCTGCATTCAAAAGCTGAGTAGGATCTGGCCTGCTTAATTCTGGGGTGGCAGACTTCCAGGGAATTAATCATGAGCCAGCAGTGTGCTGCAGCTGCCAAAGGAGCCAGTGCAGTTTGGGGCTGCAAAAAACAGGGATAGTATCAAGATCACAGGAAGTGATTATTCTGCTGGATGCTGCACCAGGCAGACCACACCTGGAATACTGTGTCCAGTTCTGGTCACCGTAATATGAGAAGGATGCTGAGGAACTGGAGAGAGGGCAGAGAAGAGTGACAAGGGTGGTAAGAGTTCCTACAAAGGGTGGTTAAAGGAAGTCGGTATATTTAGCCTTAAAAGAGAGAAGGCTAAGGGAAGACATGAGAGCCATCTTCCAAAGTATGAAGGCCTATCACAGGGCAGAGGGTGTAGATTTATTCTCCATAGTTTAACAGAAAGCAAACTTGAAATAAGGAATTTCCTGATGGTGACAGCTATTAAGCAGTGGAACAGCTTGCTTTCTGGAGTTGTGGGGTGGACCCTAGTGTGGTTTTCAAGCAAAGGTTGGACAGCCATTTGTCTGGGATGGTCTGTGGATTCCTGCTCTTGGCAGGGGGTTGGACTAGAAGACTTCTAAATTTCCCTTCCAGCCGTATGATTTTATGGATATGAGGGCTGTACATTGGAGTGGGAAAACAAGCCCTCTGGAAAAAGGCAATGGAGAACTACTTCTGTACTGAGATCCATGAAAATTACAGGGAGGCTTCCATGAAATCACCAGGAGGTAGACTGGGCTTGGAGTGGATTTCACCTTTGTTTTACCACAACACTCTAGCTTCTCCTGCCCCAGGATGCTTGCCTGTCTTTTTCTAGGCAGGTTGGAAGCATCAGTGCCCATCATTTCTATTTTCTAAGATTTCTGTGGTGCCCATTTGGGGTCCAGATGCATTTTTTGAAATGAAGATGATCCTTGGGGCTAGATGGCAAGGGGCCTGGTGGGTGCCAAAGGAAGCAGCTGCAGGCAAATTGGCAACCCAAGTCTGGCCAAGTGAGCAACATACAAATCATGTTAAATATATTTTTTAAAAAAATAGGTGCCCTGTTGAATGGTGTGCAGTGCTTTGTATTTAATTCCAAAAAGTTGCTTTTGAGCACACAAGAGCATGAACGTAGTCCATGACTGTGACTCTTTAAAGCAGCTGTGAAGGTTTATGCCCACAGTAAATGCTGAATCTGTAGCCTGAAAGAGCCTGAAAGAGGCTACAAGGTTCAGTTCTGTTTGTGGGAATGTTGAAGGTCTCAGTGATGCAGGAGGCCCTCTCTTTCCTGAGCTTTTCCATCCAGGGACTTCAGCTTCTATCCATTGTGGAACGTTCCCTCCAGAGCAGGCTCAGTCACGGAATCAGCCCTGGGTTCTCTGGCGGCCAGCCCAGGTTCTTTCCCTGGCAAGAATAAGCAGCCTTGGAAAGCCCCACGCGGGGGTTGGATTGGCTGCGATTGCTGGTTTGAAACCTCCCTGAGCTTGGAGGTCACTAATTCAGCAGCAGGAAGGCCGTACTTTGGGAACCCCTGATTTATAACATGCCCAGAAAACAGTAACTCATGCCCCAACCATGACTTGTCTAGATTGCTATAATACACTCTCGCAGGGGTTGCCCTTGGAGATGACTTGGAAGCTGCAGTCGGTACCAAATATGGCAACCTGATTGCTGATGGGGCAGCCTGCCAGTGCAGAGGAACACCCATTTTAAAGTCGCTACACTCATTACCAGATCTAATTCAAAGTCCTGATTGTTACCTTGGAAGCTCTACACAGTGGAGATGCAACTGGATCTGCCTGTCTGGTCTGGACACCCAGAGAAGGATGGATGAATGTGCCCTCCCCACAAGACATGCAGGGTGTGGAGGAAAGTGCAGGCCTTTTCTAGGGTGGCACTCCTGCTGGGGATCCCTGTCCCTCCGGAGTGGCTCCAACCCTCCTTGCATTTTGCCAGTTGATCTAATTACATCACAGCTATAGCCCAAGCAGATTCTGACTGCCATCACAGGATATTGTGCTTGTTCTATTCTTACCTATCTTGTTGGCATAATCTATTTTCTCAGTTGTTGGCTGCCCAGAGTCTGACAGGACTGGAGTGAATTATATGATTAAACAAATAAATAAATGGTGAAACTGTGCAGTTAGTATATATTTTTCATGCTTTCCCAGAGGCTTTGATATCCTGAAAAATGGCCTCTCTCTCCCCCCACCCCATCCCAGCTTCTTCCTGGCTTTGCAGGACAAATAAACTCATCAGCAGTGCTACATTTTGGTTTGGTAAAGCAAGATGCCAATCAGTGGAAACTACTTTAGGGACAGGAAAGGGAAGTTTTGTGGTGTTTCTGAATGTAGGCAATTGACACAGTCTGGGTTTCAGTCCAAAGGAAGGGATGGCTCCTTGGACCAAGCTGAGGGAGTGCCTCCCCCCCACCAGCCCCACTGGTCCCACCTACTGTGACCAACCTATCCCCTTCTGCAGGGTGAGAACCACCTGAAGCGATGCCAGCAGGAGGCTGAGGAGGTGACAGAGATCATGCTAGACAACTTCACCAAGGTGTTGGACCGTGAGGGCAAGCTTAGTGACCTGGACGAGCGGGCTGATGAGCTTCGTAAACAGGTATGGAAGGTGATGTGGGGAATGGGTGAGGCACGCTGAATCCCCAGGATGACTGGCAAGCTCTTTGTCCAGAGCTTTGCAAGGGCATCTGAACAACCAGCCGGGCCTTCCTGCCAGTTGGGATTTCAGTGGGGCCAGGCCCAAGGACAGAAGTAGTGTTCTCTGGACCTGCTGAGGAAGGAGGCTGCCTGGTTGTATCTAGGGCAACGTTAGGGAGGATGGCTATATCTTGCCTGCCTGCCTGGGAACTGGAAAGCTTCCTTTTACTGCTCTGGTTTACACAATTTCATCAGAAATCAATTCTGTGAAACAAATACTGGTAACCTTTAATCTGAGGCCATTCACACGCTTCACAAAAAATGAACTGACTTATGATTTAGCATAAACAGTGCCAACAAACTGATGGCATTTGCCTTGTTTTGCCTGCCTGCCTGCCCTTTCAGTGATTAGAACCTGTGGCTCCAAGTCATAAAGCAACTTCTGACGAAGTCATCATAACATTAATCAGAATCAGCTAGCATAATAATGTATAGCAGTAGGGTCTTACTCCCACTCAGTGGCCCTCAGTCTTTAGTAAAATAGATTTTGCATCCCCTCCAAGAGGTGCCAAACCACTCTGATTACCTAAGAACCTGAGTTTCCATGATGAATTTCCCCTTCTTTGCTTTCCTAACTCATTTCTTTCTCAGGGGAAGAAGCCATGAATTCTGCAGGGAGGAGGGCTCCCCCCCACCCTCAACCACGAGCAGCTCTTAGGCGTTATTTGGCAGTCCCTGTGTGCGTTTCACATGTAGCACCTTAATGGATCAAACATGCCCTTTCAAAGCCACACCAGTATTGACAGGGCTGTTGGCTATATCAGCTTCTGTCCACTTCCCTCTTATCACTAGGGAAGGTGTTGCTAGAAGCCTCACGGAGTGCTTCAGTCTAGTTTCTCTCAGCCAGGCTTTGAAATCAGAAGCAATGCCAGCAGGCTGAAAATAACTTTCAGGTAGGCATTTGCAGGGAACAGCAGTTGGGCTGAACATTTCTCTCACCCTGCCAGCTCTCCTGCAAACGTGGAATTGGTGCCATGTATTCTTAGGTTGGCCTCAGAAAGCCAGAGTCCCATCCTAGGGCAGCCCACAGGGCCCGGATCTTTTGACGGAAGCCCCCTCTCTGCCTGGAGAGTGTTCCCTTTTCCAGTGGCCTCTCAACTCATTCCAAAGCCAGCCATTCCAGGGGAGAAACTGGTGTGCAACCTTGCCTGGGCCTCAACTCTTTTCAAGCATTGGCTCTGTTGTGGGGAAGGCCTGATGGCTAACCTTCATAGCACGGGGCCTTGATCAGTAATTGCACCAGTTGCGCCCATTCCTGGACTGGGAGGCTGTAGTCACTGTCACTCATGCCCGTGTGACCTCCCGTTTGGACTATTGCAATGCACTTTACATGGGGCTGCCCTTGAAGAGCATTCAGAAGCTTCAGCTGGTACAGAATGGAGCTGCCCAGGTTGTAAATAGTGTCGGCTACTTTGCACATGTAACACCACTGCTTTGGGAGCTGCACTGGTTGCCGGGGTGTTTCCGGGTGCAATTCAAGGTGCTGGTTGTCACCTTTAAAGCCCTTCATGGCTTGGGACCGGGTTGCCTGAGGGACCGCCTTTCCCCAGTTGTTTCTACCTGTCCAATCCGGTCTGGCAGGATGGGCATGCTCTGGGTCCCGTCAGCCAAGTAATGTCGGCTGGCGGGGACCAGATGTGCCTTTTCCGCTGTGGCACCTGCCCTCTGGAACATCCTCCCTCCTGAGATTAGGATGACCCTGACCCTTTTGGCTTTTTGGAAGGCCTTGAAGACCTGGTTTTGTGCCTGGGCCTGGGGCCCGAGTGTGTGAAGGGCTCCGTTTCATGGTTGTGCTGATACCAACGGTTTTTTAAGATCTCTTGGCTGTATTTATATTTATATTTAATTTTCTGTATTGTTTTAAGTGTTTGATTTTTATTATTGTTAGCTGCCCAGAGTCACTGGTCTGAGATGGGTGGCTATATAAATTGAATAAATAAATAAATTAAATAAACAAATTTCCATGGAAGCCACTGAGAGATCTTCTGAGTCAAATGCCCATATTCACCAGAGTGATTGTTAGCTGCCCAGAGTCACTGGTCTGAGATGGGTGGCTATATAAATTGAATAAATAAATAAATTAAATAAACAAATTTCCATGGAAGCCACTGAGAGATCTTCTGAGTCAAATGCCCATATTCACCAGAGTGAGACTGCAACTGCCTCTGACTGGTTTTCTTTTAGAGTTCTGCCTTTACCAAGACAGCAAAGACACTGGCCCAGAAGAAACGCTGGGATAACATGAAATTCAAGATCATCCTGCTGGCTGTGGCTGTGGTGGCTATCCTGCTCATCATCCTAGCCATTGTCCTCTCCTTCACTCTCTCTGGATCTGGGAGCCAGGTGGCACCAGCAAAGACCAGCGCTGGTGGTGACTGAGCGGCTGATCAAGTTCACTCTGGAATCATCTCCCCAACACCAACCTTCCAGGGGTTCGGGGCATTCAAGAGGTTATTTGGGGCTTTGGCAGGACCTGGCAGTAGCCTTGACCACTTCATCTCTCATAGTGGCATGCAAGCCCACAGAGAAAGGAAGCAAAGGGTGCAGCCCTCTTGATGCCCAGGACCTCAATGCCTCTTCTTCAAAGCACTCTTTTTAAATGCTATGGAATAGGAAGAAGAGAAAGAGAATTGTCCCCCACCTCAGGGACCCGGTGCTTTGGTGGATTGAGACAGAGTCCAGCCTGCTTGCATATGTACTTCCTGTTCCATTGTTCCTGAAGAGTGATGTGTACAAGAGAGATGTTATTCCCAGTTGCAAGGCAGTGTGCACCAATGCTCTCATTCAATCTTGAGAGGCTACAGCAATCTGAGCCAAGGCCTAAGACCCAGGCCTTGCATCTCCAGCTGTGCTTGGTGAAGGGGAACCTGCTGTTGTCTGCACCTTCATGGAAGGTGTACCCTACGACAACTGACCTTTGCAATCTGTAATCTGGGCTGGGGGGTTCTTGGCTGCACCAACTTGTGGAGGAGACAGTGGGTGAACCTGTTGCACACTCCCCCGCCCCCCGGTTAGGAAGTGCTGAGAGGTTTTTAAAAACTATTAAGCCTCTTAGGGTTTGTTTTGCCCTTTCCACCTTAAAATGGTGGGAACTGCCACTGATTTTTCAGCCCAGGCGGTTCAGAAGATGGGGAGCTGTGCCTATCTTGGGGCCCAAACCTGCCCACCCCGGGACAGTGCGACATCCCTGGATGCTTGGGGCCTCTTGCTTCGGCAGCCACGTGGGCAGCAGAGCGGGAAGAAAAGGCAGGTCTGAGCAATGAGGTGCAGCTGTGGGACGTCTTCTCCGGAGCCAAAGCCTCGGGGCGGGCGCCGTCCACCCGGTCGGCCCA